CACAACAGGGTTGTAGAAAATTTCTAGGCATTGTTGCAAAGTTAATAGGAAATAGTTGTAGTAAAGCTACTTTAAAGGGCGCCTTTGCTCTATATGAAGAAGTCAATTAATAATAACAATTTGAAGGGGACACCAAACATGACCCAGGAAGGAAATAATACTCTGCATCCCATTTTCACAATTAAGAAACCAGCCACTCAGTTATTTAGCAACACTGTTGCCAGTAAACTAGTATGTCGTCCAGATTCCAAACAGCAAGAGCAAAGAATAGATTCTCTGATGACCTCTGCAGATTTAGCAATTCTGTATTTATTTTTTTAATTAAAAAAAAAAAAAAGGCAGCTATTGCTGGATGTAATTTCTAGGTATTGTAATTAATTTATTTTTAATTCCATGGAGAAATAATTTATGCTGTCTTGGTTGCTAGCTATTTAAGATATTGTGGTTACATTTTTTGTGTCTTTGGTACATTTTATTGTAACATTGTCAGGGTACTGCATTCAATTACTACATCTCATGCTGTTTTACTTGCTAAAAGCATCATCCAAACATTTTCTATCCAGTCCTTGTGGGTAACTACATCCTGTCCAAGAAACACATGTATGTCCGTGCGTTAATAGGTATGAGATCAGTATCAAATTAGTCATTTGAATTAAAGCCTTTTTGGTTTGGCTTCTGTGGTCTCAAACCTCTTAGCTCAAGCTGCAATGAAGTTTAAAAAAAAATAAATACATTTTTAACATTAAACCAAGCGTATTTGGAATACTAAGGCTTATCTGATAGCCATCTATTGTGCCTCTGCCATGTTAAAACTTGACCCAGCTTTTCACTCCTCTCTCCCTTTTCCAGACCACATTATCTCTTAGTTAGCCTCACAGTTGTGCTGGTCCCTCCTCCCAGTTCTTCCCTTTATTGCTGCTGCTCCCATCATGTGCACAGGGGTAGGGGCAGTTCCAATGGGAAGCACAAACTCTAAAACACCTATGCAGCAGCAAAGGGAATAAGAGACACATCTTGCTGGGGAAAGAGCTGAAACGATGGCTTGTGGCCAGGACATGGAAAGGGCAGAAGAAAATAGCACCCATGGACTGAAGAAGGAGAACAGTTTAAAATAAAGTTTGGTAGGTCACAGCCTACTAGATCACTAAAGGTGGTTGAGTGTGAAGGAGTGCAAACCCCAGCACTGACAGAGGGAACACGCCTCAGAGGAGAGAGGAGACTATAACCCAGAGGCAAGAAGTCAAAAAGATGGTGAAGTGAATTAAAGGGGCTACAGAGCCATTAACTAGGAATCTATGGAATGGCTGTTCTTTTCAGTCACAGCTATGATATGTGAAATTTTCCCTTTCAAGTTGCATCTCTATAGTTGAGCTGGAACACACATGGGAGAGCTTGCCAAACACAGCGGAAGCTAACACGCAGAAAAATTAATCCACCTTCATTGCCAATTATGACCCCGTTCACTGTATCATAATTATCTAGAGAGATGATATATCCAGAACAATTTCCCAGAGAGGCTACACTACTGTGTTAGATGTCCCTAGAAGCCATTTCTCTAAATCAAGTTCTGAAAGGAAATTCATGGCAGATGGTATATAATACTGACGCCCCCAAAGTAACCTAGACTAACATGCACTGTACAGTCCTATTTCTGAGCATATTTTTCCCTTGTGTAAATGATGTAGATACTTTCTGATTCTATGTGAAATGGGAAAACATTAACAGTTTGCAGAAAGGGAAAAACAGGACAGACAGTGAAGAACAGTGAAGAGAGTGAAATCTCACCGATTTAGCACATCAGTGCTTCTCATTTATTGCTGATCCAAGGCAGTAAAGGGAATAAGAACAGAAAATAAATAATATTCCTCAGAAAGACATAAAAGTGTCTTACTAAAATCCACATTTGCCCCGCTAGTCTCTCTGCAAGCAGGATCAGCTTGCTTTGCTCATGTATTTTCATTAATTTGAACTGGAACTTTGCCTGACAAAGGAGTGCTGAATCTTCCCTTTCTGGGCAGAAGCACTGTAACTACCAGCTGAAATACATCAACACTCTAGATAAGCCATGAACTATTGTATCTGTTGATTTATTGCTGATTAAAGACTCCCAAGTTGGTCCTAGTCCTGAGAATTAACATAACTGAAAAGCAAATATGTTACGGGCTGATGGTCCTTTCATCAGTTTTGGTGAGAGTCCTCTGATTTTCAGTATGTGTATGCGCAGATTTCAAAGCACAGCTCAGAGCTGTCACAACAGCAAAATTCTATCAGTTTTCCCTTTATTCATATATCCTTGGTCCTCACTAAAACTATTTCCGAGTTTATAAGCAAGACGCTCAATTCACCACTTAGTGTTGTCAAGTTATAAAAGGTAGTCTTACTTTTGAGACATTATAAATTCTGCTAATCCAACAGATTGTTTTAGAAAGAAAAGCATATGCATGTTCTTTTGCAAGTGGCATGGTAAACTCCAGTGCAAAGTCCTGTAATCTAAACAAATCAAGCACTAACTCAATAAGAGAGTACTTTAAAAAAGATTATGAAAATGTCATGTCTCAATTGGTTGATATACGTGACACTGCTGTTAAAAAATGCAGGGGCTTACCAACCCTGCAATTGGAAGTATCACCAAAGAGAAAACATTATCACAACAGATTTTTCTTTTCTTTTCTTTTCTTTTCTTTTCTTTTCTTTTCTTTTCTTTTCTTTTCTTTTCTTTTCTTTTCTTTTCTTTTCTTTTCTTTTCTTTTCTTTTCTTTTCTTTTCTTTTCTTTTCTTTTCTTTTCTTTTCTTTTCTTTTCTTTTCTTTTCTTTTCTTTTCTTTTCTTTTCTTTTTTTCTTTTCTTTTTTCTCTTTTCTCTTTTCTTTTCTCTTTCCTTTTCTCTTTTCTCTCCTCTTTCTCTTCTTTCATTTTTTTTCTTGTCTTTACTTGTCTTTTCTTCTTTTTATTGCAATTCTGTGTTAACCGTGTTGCTTCAGATAGATGGCCAAAAGTATCATCTACAATTATTGGGACCAAATCTGTGTCATTTTCAAACACATCTGTGTGAGGCCATGCAGGATCTGGAGACGGAGTCTCAGAGAAAGGGGTGAAATGAGCGCTGACAGCCCTTGATGGGAGGTCAGGCCTTGCTCCCTGGGAGTCAAAGCCACCAATTCTCTGGGGGTCTTTGGTTGTGCTACAAACACGACATGTTAACATGCATGACATCTCTTCTACCACTAGAGATACTTGCAGTGCTGACTCTCACTTGAAATGTGCCTTGTGAGTTCAAACCAGTAACCAGAAGTCCCCAGCAAATCCTAGTCCAGGCTGGCCTGTTAGGGGCAAATCTTGCAAATGCCACTGGTGGGCAGTACAACTTGTTTTTCAGGAACAGGATGAATTATAATCAACTACTCTCAACATTGTACTGAATACACATTGGGATGCTGAGGATGATGCATGTAGGGAAAGGTGGCAAGACTTCCCGAAAAGGCAAAAGGCTGTACACCCCCCCTCACTAAACTCACGAGACTTATAGCACTCAATGGGAAACTTGGGATTTGTACACTGATGTTTTGTGATTACATAGAAAACAAACAAACAAACAAAAAAATCCAAGGAGAACATATAAGAAGGTGTATTGGGCTCCTCTATTTCCTGAAGGTGATTCAACATAGTAATTGTTACAATGTGAAGTAGAAAAGAGCACAGTACTTTAGTAATATGAAACTTCATCACAGCATCTGTTGCTAAACTTTGCTGAGAGGTAAGGAGAGGCAACCAAATTCTGGGTAAATTATAAAACAATTGAGTGGCTAGGGAAAGAAAGCTTGGAGGATTTTAAAAACAAATTTCTCACACACAAAACCCAAAACTACCACTGCTGTTATTACGCCCGCACATAAAACCAAAAGATAACATTCAAATATTAGAAAACTGATGTGAAACACTTCAGCAAATTCAGTGGATTACTTGAATTTTCAGCTTCTCTGCTGCTTTAAGGAAAATGTAAGCAAGAAACAGACCCTTCAGGCATTGAGTATTTTGCCTTTTTAGTGCTGAACGTTGGCAGCTCCCTTGCTGCTACACTGTTGCTTATGAAAAGCAGCTGTATTTAGAGATACTAATAATACCCAATAGTATAAAATCTATATTTTCTGAAGAAGTCTACCTCCATCAACATCACAATGTACAACACACATACCATCCAAATTGAGACTTGAGAGGGAAGCAGAGGACTGATGTCTTAAAAGGCTGCTTTATAGTTTACCACAAAGATAGTTGAATAAAGATTATTTTCTATCAGACTTGTAAGTTTCCAAACAGGATAGAGAGGAAAGAAGACGGCACAAGCAAGTCAGGGTCTTTTTGATTCCCATAAAGTTTCTATAACCTTTTCTCTCTTCTTTACATTCGAATTCTCATAATCAAACAAAACTCCCACTACCAATGGAGCATATTCTGGACAAGAAACCTAGAATTTGTTTTCTGTCATATTAAATGAATGACTGTACCTTAAATCACTGTGGCAGCATGCTTTTTTATTCTCACCAAGGAGCAAGATACCAGAGATCAATTTGCTAGGTGTGGTTTTTAAAACCACATTTGTTTCATTGTTGTGAACAGTTTTTACTTAATTTCTAAACTTTCCTCCCCTATTCAAATTTAACGCATTTAATGTCTGAAAGTTAACAAGAAATTTCCTCTTTTGCTTCTAGCTGCCCTTTAAAGGAGTCAAACAAAGAAATACTGAAGATAATAGCTTTTTATATTGCTCTTTCTTCCATTAGTTATTAACCCTAAAGAGAAAGATGAACGGTTTAAAACCTCCCACCTCCCACTTGCACAGTAATTTACACCAATTACGAGATGATATGTGCCAGACAACCTTGATGAAGTAAAATAATTAGTTTAACACATTAAAGCTCTGAAAACAATGTGAGGGGAAGACCAGCAATTATTTGCATATAGCACGCAGATGGACAGACACTTGAGCAATGAAGCGATGTCCTACCTCTCCTTGCCGGTGATAGTGCTTGGGAGGTTTTCCCATCTGCTCTAGCATTTTGCCCTTCTTACTGCTAGCAAGCATCAGTCCCTGGTGGATGCCTGCAGATCTGTTGGTTGCCTGAGTTGGAGCCTCCCCCATCAGGGTGGACTTGATGGAGTTCACCTTGGAGCTGGAGCTGTCTAGCTGGGAGCTCTCCACGATCAGGACCGCGGCTAGTAAGAGGAGACAGCAGGAGCACTTATTCCACATCAGCACGATCATCTCCCCTCCCCCAAAATTATTTTCCTTTTTGTTTTCCTTTTTTTTTTCCTCTCTTTTTTTTGTTTTTTTTTCTTTTGGCAAAGAAAACAGAAGAGAGGGGGAAAAAAGTTTTTAAAAATATCTCCCAAAGTTGTTAACAAAGCAATGGATTTCAATGCCACACACTGAAGGAACTGCTGTTCTGAAAAACAGAGGAGAAAAATAATTTTTAAAAAGGATCCCCTAGGAAAAAAAAAAAGTGTCAAGTCTATAGGCACTGAGCAACTATCAGGTCTGTGAAGTGATGTCTTTTTCCTCTAGGTCCTCTAGAAGTCCAGGCAGTTCCTTAGTAACTGAGAGCAATAAGCTGCGAGGCAACTGCACCCAGGGTAGCTCCCGGCCAGCGCAGGCAGCAGCACATTTGCTTAAGCTTCAGAGGAAGACTGAGTTACTTCCCCCCACTCCTCCTCTCTTGCTACACAAGCCAGCAGAGAGGAAACTCAAACCAGATCCAATCCAAGCAGCACCGGCAAAAGCTGGGCTTAGTTTTCTTTCACTCTCTCCCCCCTCTTTACTTTTTATTCCCCTCCTCCTTTTTCTGTCTTTTGCCTCAGCCTCTGCAGTCAGCAGGAGTGAAAGCGCCTGGTCTCCTCCTCCTCCAGCCCGCTCGGTGCGAGGCGAGGAGTTCTGAGCATCCGACGGCGTGGGGGAGCCCCGAGAGTGGCCCCCACTCGCGGCGGGACCCGATCGGAGAGGCAGACCCCCCGTCGGGCTTCCTGCGCTGCTCCCCCTCGCACTCGGTGGTCTCCACAGTCTCTCCTTGGTCCCCTTGTTATTATTACAGCCGCCAGCAGCGAGTGCCCCTCCCCAGCCCCAAGCTCCGAGGAGGGGCACGCCGCAAAGCGACTTTCGTCTCCTCCGTGCCCCCTTCTCCCCGCAGCCGGGCAGGCTCCCCCTCTCCCCTGCGAGGTCTCTCCGAGGCGGAGATCCCGCTCCCGGCCGCAGCTCCGCTGCGGAGCCCAGCCCCGGGGCGGACGGGCTTCCCCGCCGTGCCTGTCCCCACGGGATCCCTCCCCGGTGCTGGGCTGCCAGACTGACGCGTTTGTCGAGGTGCTCCGGCTCCCCCGACACGCTAGGAAGTGCAAAGCCCGTTATTCCCGCAGAGGTGTGAAGTCATAGGGATGGCAGGCAAATCCCCCCCGACTCTGGTGCCCCAGCCAGCAGAGTCCGGACGCCCAGCCATGAATGCTGCGCTGCACTGCTCCCACACCTGACCCTTCCCAGTGCCACAGTGCCACCATCAATCCGAGACACTTACTTTGTATTCATCTTCTCGATTTCCCTGGCATGAGCACACATCCGATTGCTGTAAAACCCCCAAGTGCTAAGAACTACTCCCACACGGTTCAAGGCTCCTTGCTACAGCACCAAAACAGTGTATTTCAGAAAAAGGAAGGTAAACAGGGACACAGAGCATGAAATCAGCAGAACTGTGGGAAACCCAGCTTTAACTTTTCCGTGCTACATGCAAAAGATCTAGTGCAGAGCAGAGAACATCATCACGAGGCACTTGGTTACTCCAGTGGAGCAGCTGCAAGCCCTCATCTTTCCCCTGGACATGAGAAAGGGGTGTGGAGAGAACAAAAGATGGTGAGAGAAGCAGCGTTCTTGATGTCCTACATGTTCGTGTACAAATATTACCTTGTTTGGGAACAATATAGAGAATTTTCAAGTTTTCCCCCTCTTCTGAAGGGTCTCCCCTCTAATCTATCAGTCCTTTCCAGTTACTCTCCAGTTTCACACAGCAGGAGGGGTGGAAGAAGAAATGTGTACCTGAAATTTCATTTAATCTCAATTAACTGCTGAGCAAAAGGCAGTTGCTAAGGCAAGAAAAGCCAAGAAGGAGTTGAACATTGTTTCAGCCTCCAGAGATGCTGCTCCCGCGCGGTGAGCAGAAGCCCTCCTGGGGGCTTAGGAGCTCTCTGCAGGGAATGCTTCAGGAAGAACGCCACCTTGGGTAAGTTTTTTCCTTCTTCACAACATTTCCTTTCTTTTCTTTGTGCAGCCTTAAAAAAATTAAAATTACTTTTCTGACTTCATCCCCAAGAATTCCTAGAGACATTTGTAAGGAAATGTTACTAAAAGAACAGAAAGAAATTTGCAGTTTCAAAGGAAAGTGACATAAGCAAGTCTTTTTTGATTGTTTTTTACTTGGCTTTTGACACCCAGCCCTCATGTTTTTCTAGCCCTTCCAAACCCCAAATCAAACAGCTATGAGGAAAAGCTCTAACAGCTAATTTCATGGAAAGTTGGCAGAGAGCCATATAAACACCACCCTCACACAAAAAATGGGTAAAATCACAGTCACAAAGAAACATGGAAACTGCTCAAACATCCATACGTGGTGTATATACACACATATGCCTAGGCAGCGTTATGCACAGGAGGGCTGACTTCCACCCACCCATTCACGTTGGATCAAGCTGAGGTGGAGAAACACAAACCAGTAACAGCTCCCTGGTTTCTAATAACAAGTCAGTCCTGCATTTCCTCTTTGTATTACTGTGGACAGCCCTAGTCATATTTTGTTTTCTTGCTGGGGATAAATACACTGCAGAGATCACTGAAGGTACAATTCACATCTCTCTTCCTCGTGGTCTCTATGTATGCCATATAGAGCCTTAGCCCTTATCTGTCCCACTTCACGGGTGGCACCAAATCTGAAAAAATATCAAGTTGGCAGATTTTCCAGGATTGCTGCAGAAAATGGACAAGCAAAATGTCCTAAACATTTAACAAAGTTATAGGTGGGTCTGGAATATTGATAAATATACGGGATGGTGTGTTAATTCACACTTCAAACAGCTCACTTTTCCAAAATGCTTTGTAAAATTCAGAATTTATGGCACATCTAACTGGGCTCTGAATCTAACTGTCTAACTGACATGTTTGTTAACTTTGGTGACAGCAATAGCAACCTCCGTCAAATTATAATTTTTTGGATATTATCTCACCCATGTTTCTTTTACCCAGGAAGGAATACAGCTTTTTAAGTCCGTGGTGGAGTATTCTTCACTAGAATTTCTTGGAAGATTACAAAGCTAACAAAATAAATCAATGAGACATGCAAAGAGAATTCATGACAATAAATATGCACTATGATGACCTCATGCAAATATAATTCAGCTCTTCTCGAAATAAATGGACATCTGTGGTATTAAAAGAAGGCCACAGCACCTATGGGATCAGATAGCAAGGAGACTCTGTCTAAATTAGTTAAATATATATCTATTAATATCTTATTAAAATTAGTACTTAAATTGATAAATGAAAAAATGCAAGCCATATTCCAAGTCCCTAGATGCAAATAACAAAGTCCCTGTATATTCATAACCTCTAGAAATTTGAAGAAAACTGGGGAGGAATGATCAAAACTTTTCAGATATCTAACAACAAGTGCCTCAAACTTTTTTTCTCAGTCCAGATTCTTCTAAGCATGAAGTTCATCAGTCAGTTGTATTCAACTAAGTTGCCAGGCATTAATTTCAATGCAGTGGGAATGAAAATGGGTATCTTTCCAAAAGGGCAAGACCTATCTTGTAACTCACTGCTCTGAAGGGAAGATAGTTTACAGCATCTCTGAGGAAATGGAAACAAGTTTTGCTTTATTAGCACGACAGACATTTCCCTCCAGAGGAAGCAACAACCCACTTCACTGCAGGGCAATTGCTGCCAGACCAACATGCTGCTCAAGACCACAAAAATCAGAAGTACATGGGCAGGACACTAAATCTGCATTGGGGAGGAGCTTCCTGTCCCCTCCCTCCTCCTTAACAAAAACGTGATACATAAGCATACTTGAAGAGAAACAAGCTATTTCGTAGTTTGGTTGTGGGAACTTTTGTTTGGGTTTTTTCCCCCACTTTTAACTAGCATTCAACCCATGCCATATCTACTTCAAACTGGTCAAATACAGACTTTCACACCAAGGTGGAATAGATTTCCTATGTTCCTCATTGCAGCAATCCGATGTCCTTCAAAGAAATAGACTTATTTCACAATATCTACTCAAATAAGACAGTAGGGAGGCAAAAGTACCAAGAAGCATCTCTGCTTTTCAGATTTATGACTGTGACATTATAAGATAGATTTTGAGAGGCACCAGGAACTTCTAAAACATTTCAGTGACATGGGGTATCTACCAGAGGAACCAGCTACAAAAAACAGTGGTCACAAGCATGGAGTTCACTAAGCAAAGGATGTCACACTACAGGTCAGACAGGAAGACACTCTCTACCAAGTTTGGATGCCTATTCTGGAGAAGGCTAAGGCCCACATACTTGGGGTGTGGTTAGTCAAACATTTCAGAGCCACACTGTCTTTTGCACCCCAAAGCATTTTTTGCAGCTAACCACGCAGAATAATGGAAACAACATTACTCCATAAAACCACAGTCCATGGCAAATGCTGTGTAGCACGTGGGATGGTCACAAAAAATCTCTTATCAAGTACCACATTGCAGAGACTGAGCCCGCTCCTGAGCACCACGCACATAACCGCAAATCTTCCTAGGATCCTCCAGAGGCTGGACTTATGCCCTAACTCAGGAAGCAGACTGTTTGAAGACTGCCATGCTCACCATGAACTGTTAATTCGTCCAGAAGATCTCCAGTAGGCAGAAGGGGAGGCTATGCTGGTTACAACCCATGCATGGAAGCCTGACAGTCAAGAGGGCCATGCTCAATAAACACTAGTGAGACCTCCAGTGCAAACACTGAGAACTACGTCAGTGGGTCACAAGCAGTCAGTTCTCTTTAACAATAAAACCCATTTTTATTTTAATAGAGAAATCTGCATTTGTATCCCTTTTGGGCTAAATTAGCATGCTTTCTGCGAGAAAAACAGGTTTTTCTTTTGTCTTATTTGCACCCATGAAGAGAAGACACACCAGAGAGTAAAGATTGTCTTAATTTCTAAATCAGGTACTCATACCCTGAACAAATGTTGGAGGTTTCAATGTTTGAAACACATATTTCTGTTTTACAAGTGCTTTGGTGTTTCTTTTAATTACAGTTGTTTATAAAGTTAATTAGAAAATTGATTGGCTTTAAACTAACAAAGGTTTTGCAGAATTTTTCCAGTTTTACAGCTTATTCTTGACAAAAAAAGAAAAAGATATATAATCTATTTAAATTTGTGGTATTTTCATTAAAAAATACCAAAATATTAATTGCTTTTCTACTATCTCTTTATTTTGCTTTGCTAGGGAGTTCCATTAGATTAATTAGTTCCATTAGGCCTTTTTTAATTTTTCTTTGGAGGAGAAGAGAATTTGGGGCGGGGGGGGGTATGGGACACAGGAAAGACATGAAAAAGAATAACTTTTTTCCTCTTCCTTTCCTCCATTTGACTCTGAAAGTTTTAAAAGAGAAAATATTTGGAAAAGGCAGAATCTAACGGAAGTCAAGACAAGAGCAATAAATGAAGAAACACAAGAAATTAATATACTCAATTTAGGAACAAAAAGGAAATAGAATGATAATGAGGCGATCCTTTATGTGACCTCCTC